TTGTGGAAATTATGAAGCTGCATGAATGAAGATTTTTTGACTCGGTGTTTATGGTAGTTTCTCAGGTTTCGTTTTAACTGGATGTTAAATGCACTGTGTTTTTAAATAGTTCTTTTAGTAACACATTCAGTTCTATGCAGTGTTAAATGTCATTTGGCATTTGGTGAATGTGCATGTTTTGAACTGCAAATTTTAAATGTTTTGTCATTTAATTGTTAAAAAATGAATAAACTTTGCCATTAAATTAAGAAGCTTTGTTGACTTTATTGGTTGGAAATGCTAGGGATTACTTTCAGAGGAAAACATATCTCATCATTCTTGGGTTTGAATTCTTTAATGAGACATACCAGAAATATTAGTTCACAAATATCATTGAGTTCTTGCATTTTTTAAGGTAAACTGAAAAAGTAGAAAATGGGTTTAAGGTTTGTTGGGGTTGGTTTGGTTATTTTTAACACCTGTTTGGAGATGCCTTTTTTAGTTCTCATGTGAAGTCTAGAAAAGTTAAAAAAAAAAAAAAAAAAAAACCACACCACAACCAAAAGACACCAAGGAGAGCAGGAGTCTGCAAATTTAGTGACTTCCTGACATACTCTGGTGGTGATACCCTATTTTGAAAGAGAAGTATGTAGTACAAGAATGATAAGAGTTAGGAATAAGGAAACGTCACCTCCCTTTTCAGCCAACAGTGGTAAATACTGTATCCTTTGGCTTTAATAGTAGCTGGTATTTCTTTCCTCTAACAGAGCCCACTACTGAAAACAAAATCAATATATCCAAACCTTAACTGAGTTTTGGTAGTAGCTGGGTGACTGATTTTTATATATACACTAAACAATGAATTTATTTTGTATTCTGTCCAAGCATCTTAGATGGTGCTAGTTTGACAAGATCCAGCCTCTGGTAGCAAGCAGATCTGGTTTAAGGATATTCCACCTCATAATATTTTGCTATCTCTATTATACTGGCAGTCACGGGCCATTGAAATTATTCATTTTGTAATCCAGTTTATAATGATCCAGGCTCCCTCTCAGATCTTTTCCCTTCTTTCTTACAACAGACATTACTTTTAAGCTAAATCATTTCACTAACTTGATTTACAGTACAGCCTCCTGAATTTTCACAAGCCGTAGATTTAAAGAATAAAAAGAACAGAAAGGCATTTCCTTGTTTGCCTTTGCTAATGAAAACAGGAGAGCATGGAATTATAGCCTTGGTGTAACTGTGAGTCAAAAACTTTATGTGATACTGTGGGGCATTGGCTCCCTCAAAAGCAGACTCATTGTTCAGAGGAGTTCAAGTCCAGACAGCACATTGCAATAGGCAGCAAAACAGCACTGAAAACCAACTTCAACTCCTTAATATTCCTTAATATTCCTTAATGTTCCTTAATGTCCTTATGTCAAGCTGTAACTGAGCAGTAATGACAAAATACTTTCAAAATTGTCACCTTTTTTTTATTCCAGTGAGATTAGTATTGCAAATAATCCGTGAGTTTACATAGCCACATACTGTACTGCTTACCTAGTTTCAAACAGAATCCTGCAGACATTCTTGCAAGTACTTGTAATGTTTTTCCTAGCACTGGAAAGTCTTGATGCATTTTGGAGATACACACTTCAGAATCCCAAATTGTGGAAACACAAAACAAAGGGCATGCCACTGTTGCTCATTATCCACAGAAGGCTTGGGTTGCATCTAAGTCATTACCAGTTAATGGCAATCAAAGCATTTGTTGCGTCGTGTGTGAATGACAGTAATCAATTTAATGAGTGTGAATATTCTTTCATTTTGATTTTAGATTGTTGTAGTGCTAGTAAAAAGGAATATGAACTGCGCTTAGAATTCCCAAAGAAATCTAAGTTAAATCTACTTTGTTAACATGGCAGTAAAGAAAGTACTGCCTGTAAATGTTACTTCTGATAGTAAGCAATTGCTTTCAGTTCAAGCATACATCCAGCCCTTCAAACCATTTCATTAGTCATTAAAGTGCTATCACAATGTCATTTCTGTTCTGTCTGCAAGTTTTAGGAAAATTTCCTGTTCCTATAAATCATAGGAGTATCTAGTGCCAAAAGGCTCTTTCCATTAGGAAGAAAATTCAGCATTCTTGCCGGCACACCAAATCCATCTGGGTCGGAAACTATTGGCAAGGCAGGGTTGTTTCTATCCATGGATTTTATTCTGGCCACCTCCTTTCCTCTCCCTTCAGCTATATGGGTCACTGCTACTGTACCTACATGAACAAGAATAGATTTATTTTTTTTTATTATTTATAGTTTCTTCTTTGTTTGCAGATTGTGCATAATCCCCCCACAGTAGCACAGTACAGCTATTTTCACTACAACTGATCTTTCCCACCCTAAGAGCCACATCTGCAGGATTTGTTGCAGTCTGGCTACTGATCTGTGAAGTACTTAGCACTCTGTAAACTTACAGACTTATCTAAGTCTGGTTCAATGAAATTATTCCTGTGTGTCAAGTCCTTCAACCATTCTGTGAGGACTGACCCATTACGCAGCATCAGGGGAAGAAAGGAAGTGGCTCAGAGGGATCTTCCCTGCTAGGCTGAGGCAACTTCGTGGCAAACTTCACAGCTCTCCTTAGGCTGAATGATCATTAAATTTAAGGCTGTATGCAAGTGTAGCAAAAATCTGTCCCTCTGTTAAAACATTAATAACTGACTGCAGAGCCCTCTGAGACTGTCACACTGAAGCAGCCTGGCCTGTACAGCACCAGATGGTAACGGGCAGTGACTGAGCCAAGCTCACAACTTTGCTGTGTACAGTCTTTCTTTGAGGAAAACACTGAATTTCAGCCACTCACCACCTGTGTCAGTGGCTCTGATGACTAATCGCTCTTCAAAGGTACATAAATTGACACTTCTTAGCTAAAAGTGATCAAGTTTCTGCTTCCAGAATGGGTCTGTGTTGCCTTGGTTTACTAGATAAAGATTTCTTCTAACTGGAGACTAACTATAATTTGTAAAAAAATGCATTTGAGTTGGTTTGCTGTTTCTGCTGTATACAGGAGTGATCAGTACATCTCACAGTATGCTTCTGAACAAGACAGCTGGTACATCTTGAAATATTCAACGATTTTTCAAAAAAGTTACTTGAGTCCCATCCATAGCCATTCAAAATATGTAGTGAAGAATCCTATGAAACCTCATCTAAGGCAAGCAAAAATTTTCTTCCTTTGTTTCTACAATAAAATTACAGGCCAGAACACTTAACTTTCAATTCACTTCTTAAATACTTAAAATCTAATTTTTAGCATCTTATAAAATATATACACAACTGTGTATCATGATTTGTGTTGTAATTAACAATTACAGCATTCAAGCTAGAGCCTATTACTTAAAACATCATTGTAGAGAACTTGCCTTTCTGCATTTCTAGCAGTAATGTTGGCTGGATTATAATGTTACTTGTTCAGTAAAAAACTTATTAAAAGTGTTATTTTGAAATTTTTCTGTCATAACTACTGATCGCTAGATGTTTGCTAGGAAAAAGTTATTCAACTCTTGAGAAAGAACCAATGAAGCTTTTCTAAACTACTGGTTAAATAGGTCAGCTACAATGTACTTCAACAGATCCTACACACAGGGAGTTTGAGGCTGATAAAATAGGAAAGCTCAGCCTCTGATATTGTAGACTCTGACCCACAGAATGACTTCAGTTTTTCAGAAAAAACAAGTATACAGAGAAGCCCTTTAATGACTGCATTTTTTACTTGTGTATTTTCCATTTGCTTACTGCATGTATTTGGTTTAGATGCTTTTTTTCTTCTTCTTCCATTTGGTTTGTTGGTTTACTTAGGTGAAGGAATGTAGAAGGGCAAACAGAATTTATTCCTAGCGCAGGATGTTTAATCTAAAATACCCAACTAATCAGTGTCGTTTTCAACACTTTTTCACTGCAGCTGCATGTAAAAAACATAAATGAATCTATTCGTTTGCTATGTAGTCAGAATTTTGTATTATATTAAATCTGCACAACAGGTGCAGTTGAAGTTGTAAATAATTTCAAAAAGCAGAATAAAATATTTTAACAGGAAAAAAATAAAAAGTAGTTACACCAACCAAATTCAACAAACACTACCTGTACAGAGTCATACCGATGACACAACATTTCAACCACAGAGTTTATTGGTAATTTTTTTTTGCGTGTTGCTCCCAAATAATTAGTGATGTCAATGGTGTAAATGCATTTTAAATTACAAACTTGTCTTTACATTTTATACATGGCTAATTTTACAAACAGGACTTCATGATCAGTTTGTCCAACTTATACTTGCTGAGCAAACAGCTGGCAATAAATACTTCCTTCTGAAGAATGCTTTAGTATACTGACTGCTATTTTTAGAATTTTATGTGGAGAAGTTATTGGTGATATTGCTGAATACATTCTGCTTTCCTCATAGATAACTTGGCTATGTGAGACTGTCTGATCTTCAACTAGCCTAATTACTACTAGTTTTATCTACCATCGTTAAAGTTTACTAATACAAATATGCAGTGTAAGTTCAGGTAGATTATTTGCATTTTTAAAAAACCTCTGCATTTTGATATCTAATAAAATTCTTCCTCTTACTTTCACTGCTCATGGAAGTGGTAAGCAGTCAGATGTTTTCAAGGATCCTCTTTAGTAAGTATTACTCCTCTCTTACTTCTCAGGCTTATTGGTGCTTTATAGTACTAGTGTGATTATTATCAGTGGAAAGCAGCCACTGTTTGTTAACTAAGTTAACTGCATTAGGGTAAGATATCATTTATAATACTGAGTACCTTCATCCCAAAATGGTTCTTTTACTTGTCTCTGAACACATTCTGCACAAATTAGGGAGAGCAGTCCGGTTTTAGAGCAACTGTTTGGAGTGTTTTACAATTCCTTTGTGAGTGTGATCCAAGTTTGGGAAATGCAGTCTCAAGTGAGACCCCTCACTTTTCAAGGGCAACTCACCCACAGGAACAGTTCTGACTTCTGCAGCCACAGAGCACATCAGAGTGACACCCAACAGCAGCAGTCCCTGTGGTTGCAAAGGTTGCATGACTTCTTCACAAGTCCTTTCAGCTCTGAGTAAAATCAGAGCAGCTCTTCCCAACCAGGGCGGGCTCTGGCTGGAGAGGATACCCAAAGTATGGCGGAGACACCAGAAATCCTGATGGCTGGCTCAGGTGCACTGTGTGGGCTGTCTGGAAGCAGCCAGATGTGTACGGTGGAGGTGAGGACGCCACAAGGCAGCCTGGCTCTGCCCGGGGGAAGGAGAACCTGCGAACCGAGCTGCTGGTGGAACTGGAACTTGTGGCGGTACTGGACTGCCTGGATGGGGTCCTGAAGCTTGTGGAGGCCAAGATCATGGGAAGAGTCTCGGTCTGATAGCTCCGCAGAGAAAATCGGATTGGCTGGGACGGTTGTTTAGGTCTTAAACATGTGCAGCAATAAACTGCTACCAGCGAGCCCACGATAATGAAGGCAATAAATATTGATCCAACAATGAGGAATGGAACGTAGATTGGTTCTGGGAGAAGAAAGAAGAAGGAAAGTCATGCAAATTAGACCACTTAATAGCAGGTCTTCTGTGTAGAAATAAACTCCACAGTGTTTATAAAGCCCCACATTATTTCAGTCCCAATAACACAGCAATTTGCTCAGAAGACAGAGCACTATTAGTATTGAAACGAAATCAAAGTTTAAACCCTGTAGGTTGCAGTAAAAAATTATTTCTGTTACAGTTTTAATAGCCACCAAAGCTAAAAACTGTCTACATCGCGTCCCCTTCACTGGTTCTTGTTAGGTATGGCTCAAGAATCTCACTCCTCTCCCCGTTCCTCATCCCCCAAATCGCCGGGACTGTCCAGTGTAACAGCTTGAGTCTTGCAGGTGAAGCTCAAATGCTGCAGATGCTATCAAATCGCTTCCTTTCCTAAGGTGGAAGATAAGCGCAGACCGTGTAACTTGGGAAACCAGTCTCCGTATGCGCTGCCGGATTTCTTTTGTTTGGGAAACTGACGGCCACTAGCACGGTGGGCTGTGCGCGCAGAGCCCCGGGGCCCACTCACACCTCCGGGAGCAGTAAAGTTACACAGACACAGCAGAACTTAAAACACAAGCGCACCGTGCAGTCAGCAGGGATCCTGCTGCCGGTGCCCTTGGCAGCGCGGAGCTGCGGCCCCCGCGCTCCCGGGCTCCCGGTCTGTCCCGGCGCTCCGCAGCCGCGCCCCCGGCGCCACCGCCTGCGCGCACCTGGAGCCGCGCCCGCCTCCAGCCCACCCGCCGGCACGGGACAGGGGGACAGGGGGACAGGGGGACAGGGGGACAGGGACCCCACAGCCGCCGCGGGGCGGCACCGGGCCGGCCCGGGGGATGCTCCGCGGGGACCGTCTCCCGCCCGCTTCGGGACCCGCGGCCGGGCACTCACGGGCGGTGACTCCCGGCTCCGAGGGCTCCCGGTCGTTGGTGCAGCCGCCCTGCTCCAGGCGAGCCTCGGCGGCGGCGCAGCAGTAGCGCAAGGCGCAGGAGCCGCAGCAGATGGTGGCGGCCGCCGTGTCGAAGCCCTCGGGGCACTGGAAGCCCTCGTGGTAGCCCCCCTGCCCGTCCACCCAGCCGTGGCAGTACTCGCCGCCGCCGGGCTGGCCCCCGCCGCCGCCGCCCAGCAGCCCCAGCAGGAGGCAGCGCAGCAGCAGCCGCGGCAGCGCCCGCCGCCGCCCCGCCATCTCCCCGCCACCGCCGCCCGCCCGCCCCGACGGGGCGCGCAGGGGGCGGCCCCGGGTACCGTGCGGGGCCTCCTGCGCCGCGTCCGGGGGCTGGGAGGCAGCTCCCACAACACACACACCCTCGCACACACCCACGGCACACCCTCACATAACCCCACACTCACACCCTCAGACACCCTCACACACCCCCACTCACACACCCTCAGACACCTTCACACACCCCCACCCGCACACCCTCAGACACCCTCACACAACCCTCACACTCACACACCCTCACATCCCCTCACGCACTCTCACACACACTCTCACACACCCACACGGCTCGCCCCCGCCGCTCACCTGCCGCCCCCGGCCCTCGCCGCCTCCTGAGGCCCGCAGCATGGCCCCGCACCTCGCTGGCCGGGCCCTGCGGCTCGGCCGGTCCCGCTCTGTACCTGTCACTCGGACGGGGCCGGGCGCCGAGGCAGGGAGGGAGGGAGGCTGCGGCCAGATCAGCGTTTGCTTTCCGCGGGCCTCTTCCTCTCGGCAGGCTGTGCCCGGCCTCTGCGAGAAAAGCTGAGCGGGACTGCGGGCATCTCCGGTCCCACACAGCCGATCATCGTGCCCCTGACTCCCGGACGCCTCGAAGCAGAGAGGTCTCTGCGCTAGCAATTTATTAAAGCAGTCCTGTGCTTCTAAGGGTTAAAAAGCAAGTACAGCGTATGATTTATTACAAAGACTTCTTGCTTTTTAACCTGTTTCCCTTCCTCAATAGTTTTTATGTGCAAAGATATAACAGCATATCCCCAGAAGATTTATAGCCGCTCTTGGTCAAACACCAGGCCCGTCACCTCTATTTTCCGAAGGGAGAGAATGGATGTGGGGCTAGGGAGGAGGAACACATCTGTTCGTATAAGAATCCAATCGTTTTTCTGCTAGAAGAATAATAGCAAGTCACCAAGCAAAAACCACAAAAGGAACTGCTTATTCATTTATTCTAGAGGAAAAACACATTTGAAATGAACTGAGCAGATTTGGACTTCTGGTTGAAGCAAAGAAACATTTCTTTAAATGATGTCTCCCCTGTGTGCTATCTAAGAGGCACTCTTGCTCGAACGGTGAAAGTACTTATGAAACTTCTATTAAAGCTGTGCTGAACGAAAGAATGCATTTTTCCTGCATCTGACACTTCCTGACATCATTTACTGCTGGGGTATGAATATGTATATCAGAGTCTGACCACTTGTCTAACATTTTGAATGCCCATGTCACTAATTTCCAAAGTTGGCAAGTTTAGTCAAACAAAAGGAACAAAGTGTGCTGTGTACCAGCAATAAAACTGTGCACTCAGAACCATCTATCAAGACGTTAGACTTCTGGCCAACTCCTAAATACAGTCCACAAGCAATATATTTGTGGGTTTTTTTCTTTTACCTAATCTATTCTATTTTTTTCCCTCTCTGACCCTTTTTTCCTGTTTTGATTTCTGTATGTATAACCAGTACCACCAAATCAGGAAAGCAAATTTAAAAAATTTCATAAACGAGAAATATTTTTCATGGCTATTTAACAGATATGGCTATAGAAATAACAAAACTGGATATAAAAAAAAAAAATACATTCTGAAAGTGAAAATGTGATATTTTGTCCTCCTCTGCATTTTCATTTTGAAACGATGATGTGGATTAAACTTTTACCAGCTGTCCTGACTACAAGTTTCTAGTTTTTATAAGCCAATGTTAAATATTAATACAGTTTTGCATTTACTTCACCGTGGTTTTAAAGCAAACATAACCTTCATGGAATGTTTTAAAATGTATGACTTTTAAAGGCCTAATCCAACTTCCAGGAAGGTCAAAAGGAATCTCTGTGTTGACCAGGAGGAGGCTTGGAGCAGGAACTCAGTAAGGTCTTCATGGTGTATTTAGCTGTCTCAGGTGCAGAGGAAAGAGGGACAACAGAGCCGTCCTCTCAAGTTTGCAGGAAAGCCTCATTTGGTAGGAGTCAGTGAGTAAATATCTCACAGCTCATATGATGATTTTGTTAATTAATTCATCAGCTTCCAAAAAAAAAAAAAAAAAAAATGTGGTCTGAAAAAATCCTTCTGAGATACAGAGATACTAAACTACCATAGGAACTGCAGGGATAGAGTGGGGTGGGGGCACTGAGGAGGCTCCCAGCTCACAGACATTGGGAAGACTTTGACCTGGGTTTATTTCTCTTTGTTTGTTCCATCTCTAGTGCTTGGATTGTTAATAAAAATGTTTGTGTTCCTTTAGGCAGAGGCTATGCTCTGCTCCCCTGTGTTGATGACACCTGTACAGGATCTCCTGCAAATGGGCAAAATTAATCTTCTCTTTATTTGAATCCCCAATTTCTCCATTCTGCAAGAAAAATTTTTTAAGAGTTTCTTAAGTGTGGGTTTGCAAGTGTGTGTGGTTGGTTTACTTTTGTGTGGCTAAATGGCATTTCAATCACACAAGTGGATTTTTCTCCCTTTTGCCAAATAAGTCAGCGGCAGATTTCAGGACTGATCCTGAAACACTGCAAACACTGACAGCCTGGAAACCTTTGAAGATACATGAGTTTTCCTATAAACTGCTGAGGTCTTAAGTTACTTCTTTGGTGTTTTTCCTTTCTCTGAAATATTGATACAGCCTGCAGAATGTGATGTGACCATCGTGGAGGTGAACTGGATTGTTCTGACCTAGACAGTAAAAACCTTGGTTCTGCTCCCTTTTCTGTAAAGGTACATTTTGACATGCTAGAAGATTCATTTGCATTGATTTTTGCCATTTGCTTTAAACTAAATCCACAAATAATTAAGAATACAGGAAAAAACTATCATGTTGACTGTTGCAGAGCATCCTTATCTACACCTACATCCTCATCCTACATGTGCAGTTTGAGGACATTGGATGGCTCCAAGTAGCTCGCTTTTAGACTGGTTGTTGTTGGGTGATGTTCCTGCAAAGTACCAGTGTTGACTTTGTTTATTATTTATTCCTAGCTAAAACCTTCCAGTTTCCAGGTGATGTGTCATAAGTTTAATTACATCACATTAATTTTGAATGAGAAATATTTTTTTTAAAAGCTCGTATAGTTCTGATTGTTGTTGTTTATAAAGCTTGGTATGAAAATTAATGAAGGTGAGATCAGTCATATAGTAGGGAGAGAAGATGCTTAGTTGTATTTTAAGGTGGTATTATCTACCAGGCTTTTTTTACTGTCTCCACAGCAAACCTACAGGGAGAACACATTACAGCTCTCCTCATCTGCTTCTGTGCAAGATCAAACAATTTTTCTTAAATGACTTCTGAAATCATTGGCTCCCTGCACACAGTAATTACCTTACACTGCCAAATAGATAAATTGTAAAAACAGATATTAAAATATTCTTAAACATATTCATATTTCCTAATAATTATTTTTGCTACAGTCCATTTTCTGAATTTGGGCTTTTTTTCTTGTTTTTTTCCCCTGATTTCACCACTATACTTTTTGGCATTTTTTCAAACTATAAAGTGAGCCAGTGACCCATGAAGCTCTAGCATGTGAGTAAATCCTAATATCACTTCAGGCAGCTACTACCAATGTAAGGTAAAGTCCCAGAACTTTGGATTAGCTACTAGAGTCCAAGCAGAGATGAAATCTCCCAAACATTCATAAATAATGTCAGAATTCTGTCTTGGCTAGGACAATGACAGATAGGGTCAGCACATATTTTTCCTGATAGTCATATCTTGCAGGATAAGTCATCTCACCCCAGCTCTTCATTAAATTTTGTCTTGGATTTCAAAGAGTAAAAAAGGCCAAATTGAGTACCAGCTTCTAAAAACAGCCTGGTGCAAGCACATTTCCCTTTAAAAATAAAACCAAAAGATTTTGCCACCTAAACTGCAAGCCCTTGAGCTACGTGCTGTGCTTCATTGTGCATATAAAGACTGTGCTGAATAAAATCCTGTATGCTGATCTCTCAAGTGACATCTTTAGTCTTGGCTGGTTGTGAGAATGTCCTTCCTGCAGCTCTCTTGCTGGGAGAGCCACCTGCCAGGCCACCAGCATCCCTGTCACCTGCCAGGCCACACGTGTCCCAGACTGGAAGGGCTGGCAGGAGTGCTGCTAGACGCCCCAGAATCAGCCCCATGTCCCAAGGAGGCTCCAGCTGCGTCTCTGCTCCTCCTCTGGCTGCAGAGCCTCATCCCAGTGCCTACATCAGCGAAGTAAAACAGGCCCATGAAGCCCATAAAGTGCATTTTGGTTGACTAAATGGTCAAGGGGAAATGTGGTGCTTTTCTTCTTTCTTTTTCCTTGCTCCTTTTTCAGTATTCTTTTGTACTTTTCTGGTCTGCGTTGGAGGCTGGAGCTCTGACAGCCAACATTTTTTATGATTTATTCCTGGGATTTGACCAGCACTGCATGGTTTTCCACCTCAGTCAGGAATATCACCATGTTTTCTGAAGTCTCTCAGAAATATTTGAGGTGTAAGGCTACATAAGCCAGCTGTTAAAGGCAGCACCACTTACTCTAGCCCACAGGTAACCATTGAGAAAGCTGGTTACAGTTTGTGGAGAAAAACGTAGAAGTCAGGTTATCTCAGCCTCATGACTGTCAAATTAAGTGAGATTAATCATAAGTGCTTTGGGGCTCACTCAAGAGCAGAACGTTTGATTACTGGTAGGTTGATCCCTGTGTACACATGTCTCCATAATGGTTCCTTATCTGGAGTCTGTAGCCCTGCTAGGTAGAGGAGTTAGGATCAAACCTCAGGAGTCATCATTCTCCTCCTAAGGCAGCAAGAGGGGAAATTTAAGCCAGCAATGCAGCCATCCCTATTTGAGGAACATTTTATCCCAGCCATCACCATCTACCCTTTAGAAGATCACTCTTGCCATTCTTTTGAGCTCTACAGAGACCATGTCCTGAAAGATGATTTGGTTGTGGTTACATTCAGTAACTCACATGTGTTGAATGTATCCCCTCTGTACAACCACAGCAGTGCTCTCCATCTCCTCTGGAGAGCAATGCTCTCCTCATCCAGGGGGGCATAGAGCGGTTAGAAGTAGAAAAGCAGGGACAGATGTCTAGAATAGACAGGAATTTCTCATCTTACATGATGTGCAATTATCCTTTCTTCACTACTTCTGTGGCTAAAAATAGCCTGTCTTATGGCTACCAAGCAAGGTTTTCTGAAGAAGTGTTTAATTTTACTTTTAAACCAGAAGTTCCTGTGCTTCGGAATTCAAAAACAAATTCTCCAAGCAACAATTCTTGATACTAAAAAAAAAGTTCAGTATGGAGTTACACCAACCACAAGCAGAGCAAGATAATAAAGCCCAAAATAAAAAGCAAAAAATAAAGTACAAAAATTACTTGTATTTCTAACAGCTGTTTTCAAAGCACTGAACATGGGGAAATGTTTTGACAGCTAAAAAAAGATTGAAAAATGGCCACATTTTGACCACTGTTTCACCTGAAAACTTTACTCAATCGTGATTTGGCAAAGAGTTCCTTCTCTGTAACTTGCTGAGAAAAAATGAGTTATTGCAAGTAAATAACCATACTTCCTAATAATCTTAACTGCTGCAGTCATTTTTAAACAGTACCAGGCTTACCAGCTAGAGGTGGAAGGCTCGGTATACTATTGCCAGGCAATTCCCTAATCCCCCAAACAGTCATATTAATGAATATTGCAACAGAAAGGTCAGAGGAGAAAGATAGCATCAGACCTGCTTTGCTCTCTAGCAGAGTGTGCATTTCTTTTTCCTTGAAACAGAATTAATGACCAAAAAAAGGTAAAAGAATATAAGAGAACATGACATTTGAGTGTAGAAAAGTGTAGAAAGAAAATGTGTTTACCAGGGAATGAAGACAACTGAGTTGGGTTTTTTTTCACTCACACCAGGAAAAAAAAAAAAAAAAGAAACATTCAAAAAGAAAAAATGAATACATACCAATGCTTTTTTCTTTATCTCCAAAATAAATAGTGCTGCATATGAGGGCACTGTTTCAATCCTTAACTGAGTGCCTAATAAACATATGCCTAAGTTTAAAAATATGCATTTACCTTTTTTTGTTATTAAATTAATGCATGAGAATAACTGACAAAAAATGCACAAAGAAATCTCCAAATGAACACATTATGGAGTACCTTTAGCCTTAAGTAGGTTACATCCTTTAAAGAACTAAGGGAGAGCTTGTTTTGTAGGAAATATTAATATCTAGCACTACTTGTTTGCTTATTACACGTGAAAGTTGCACACAAGTAACACAGGCAATGAAGACTCTGGATTTAAAAGAGTAATTCTTTTGTATCACTAAACCTGGTAAACTAAGCTGGGCCCTTTAACTTGAATCAGCAACCACAGAGATAATTTTATTAAATATTTTAGTAGTTTTTAAAATTTGTAAAAATCCTTATATTAGTGATGCTAAAAATTTATTGTGGTTCTTAAATATCAGCTATCCAATGCTAAAAATAGAGTGAAATTCTGCATCTTTGAACATGGGAGCATATCCCTCAGTTCCTCTGGCTCAGGTCCTCGACACCATCGTCCTCAGGCTACATTTCACCCAGCTGAGGACCACCCATCCAGGTTTGTGTTGATATCATTGCATGTTTATAACAGATCGTTGTGGGGTTTTCCAATCATTGAATTTATCCTGTCTGTGGAATGGCCTCTTAACTTCCCACAAACAGCAGGCTTCCCAAAGAATTTAAGACATTTCAGGTCTGAAGAAATCAGCATTGGGTGATATAAATTAGTTGTATATTTATGATAATCTAATCAGTGAATGACAGATTAGGTGAGATTAAAGACTGAGACCCATTTTTTTTCTGACTGAAGGTGGGTAGGATTTAAGGAAGAGCTCTACCTCATCTCCCACAGCCTAGGGCAAGCCAGGGACTGGGTCACCTTGGCACCGTTTTGAGTAGCTGCAGAGTTCCTGTGCTCAAGTGCTTGTTGCTTCTGCTATGCTGCATTTCCAGATCCTGAGCAAGATGGGTCCTGCCACTCACCTTATCCAGCCTCGTCTCTGTGGCCATCCAGAACTGCTTCAGGGGAGGTAAGAAGCCCTGCAGCAGTGCCACCTCCACCTCTCCACACAGTGAGCAGGCTGTTAGGAGCAGGCTATCTGGTGGAGCAGGATGTGCACAGAGGAAATATTTGGGGATCCTGTGTTGAAGTGCACTGCCCTAAATTTTATCCAAACAAGATTTGTGTGCCAGAAAGAGGTCTCATCTAGTGAGACCAATATATAGTCATTTTAAACTTTGGATCAGTAATAGCTGGGGACTGGCTTTAACTCAAAGCCTAGAGTTACACTTCTATACACTTCTAGAGTTACACACTGATACACTTCTGAAAATATTTTGCTGGTAATTTTTTGATGGCAGCTGAACATTGAGCAGATGTCTTCATTGGGCTGTCCTTTTCTCTGGAATAATACTGTGGGCTGAAAATCTTGTTGAGTGTCTAAATAGAAGTCTGAATGTGCCTCTCTAAATGGTATTACCCTGCTTTTGCAGGCCCAGCATTTCATTTGCCTTTGTGTTGCTGTGATGGTTCAATGCCAGCTGCAGTTCAGCGCCTTGCAGCCAGTCCCTCACACTGTTCTCAGCTCAAATCCAAAACACAACCCTTTACTGGCTACTCTGAAGAAATTAACTCTACCCCAGCCAAAACAGCATGGTTACCCACTCACCTGATTCACTCAGGTCTTCTCCTCGCCAGTCTCCAAACACGGCTTCTCTGTTTAAAGATGAAAGATCCCATGAGACAGCCAAACAAGCTGGTGACTTACGAACTGGCTGCTGCCATCACCACAGCGGTGAGGCAGTGCTGCCAGGCAGAGTCTGCATTTGTGTCTCGCCACAGTTCTACATGGAGCAACGTCTTCAGTCAGCCACCTCTTCATCTCCCTTGCCTTAGCTGGAGAGATGACATGACAGGCTCCTGTGTGTGCTTCCCATGGTACCTTCTCTCACATGAACAGGTGCCAGGCATGAGCCCTTTCCCTGCTGAAGGTGCCTGCAAGATAGTCTGCCTCCCATTGTCCCCTGGCACAATGTCTGTGAGCAATTCTTCTGTCACTGCTGTTTAGTGAGTTGTGGCTTTCAAACACTGTCTGCTCCCTGAGGGGTCTGGACCTCTTGCACCTCCATCTTTGTAAGCAAATGCAGTAATTATGAGTGAATGGTAACTCAGGGTCAATAACACAAACCTGCTGCTGCTCAGGACTCAGAGAAGATTTTAACTGGAGAACTTTTAGCAGGCAGCCACTATTGGGATGTATATCCATCCCATCTGATATCCACTCTGCTTATCTCTCTGCTGCAATGAAGAGCAAAGCACTTGCACAGCAATATTGGATCTAGTGGCTTGTTGGGGGCTCCTGGATGAGCCTGGGAGTCACTTCTGCTCAAGCCAGACTGCCCCATGCACACTTTATCATTTCCTATCTTGCTCTCCACACCAATTTTCCTTCTTGGGAGATAAAACTTTTGGGAAGGAACAAAGCTGTATCTCATGCTCACCTGCATGCTTAGTTTTAGTTATCAGGTGCCAATCCTGAAGCCCAGCTTTTAGGAACAAAATTCAGCTCAAACCCTCCTGGCTGGCATCAACTGTACTTCAGTGACATTTGCAAAAAGGTAGATATGTGATGGCAATGTGTTCTTATAGCCCAAAAGGCCAAAAACATCCTGGGCTGCATCAAAAGCAGCATGGCCAGCAGGGCAAGGGAGGTGATTCTGACTCTCTGCTCTGCTCTTGTGAGATAACAGCTGCAGTGCTGTGTCCAGCTCTCGTCCCCCCAGCACAAGAAAGACATGGACCTGTTGGAACAAGTCAAGAGGAGAGCCACAAAGATGATCAGAGGAATGGAACACCATGAGGATAGGCTCAGAGAGCTGGGATTTTTCAGCCTGGAGAAGAGCAGACTCCAGGAACACCTTATAGCCTCTTCCAGTACCTAAAGGGGCCTTCAAGAAAGCTGGAAAGGGACTTTTTCACAAGCAAAATAGTGACAGGACAGGTGGCAAAAGTTTTAACCTAAACAAGGAGAATTTAGATTAGCTATTTGTAAGAAATTCCTTACTGTAAGGATGGTGAGGCATTGGAACAGGTTGCCAAGAGAAGCTGT